GCTGTGGGAGTGTGGAACAAGCTGCCTAGCTAAGTCGCTAAAGCTTATACACTGGTTTCGATCAAGAAATAACTGGATGAGATCCTGGGATCAATTTGTTATTAAGTACCAAGTGGGCAAGAGAGGCTGAATGACCTCCTCTCATTTGTAATCTTTATGTCCAGGGATGTAAGATACCAAAAATGTTGGTACATTTCTGCTTTAACCTTCTGCTTTTCTGTCTGTTAATTTCAGAACTGTAGGAAATTGAATATTGCTAAGGTAAAAAATCCATAAAATGAAATCTTGAGAAAAGAAGTCACCTAATTCGCCCATGGCTTGTTTGTAGTGAGAGCCCTCAAGAGGGCTTGTCCTTTATTGTGATATTGTGATGTTATAGTATAATTCAGTACAGTATAATTGCTGCCTTCCAGCACAGGAACCCTGGGTTCCATTGTGGACGTGCATATATTCCTGGAGTTTGTATGTTCTCCCTGTGTTCATGTGGGATTCCTCCCAGCACTCCAGTTTTCTCCCACAGTCTCTGAGTCTCTGCGGTGCAATTGGTTAGTGCGTTTGGCTGTTAACTGAAAGGTTTGTGGTTCGAACCCACCAGGGATGCTGAGAGTCTTTCAGGGTGGGGCAGTGGCACGGTAGCTAAGGATCTGCGCCTGTGGCTGGAAGGTTGCCGATTCGTATCCTGTGGCCGGCAGAGGAATCCTACTCCATTGGGCCCCAGAGCAAGGCCCTTAACCCCAGCTGCTCTAGGGATGCTGTTTAAATGGCTGACCCTGCGCTCTGACCCCCAGCTTCTCTCCCTGTCTGTGTGTCTCATGGAGAGCAAGCTGGGGTATGTGAAAAGACAAATTCCTAATGCAAGAAATTGTATACAGCCAATAAAGTGATCTTATCTCTGATCTTATTACAGTCCAATAACAAACTGGTAGGTTAAGTGGCTTCTGGGAAAACGTCCCCCGGTATTTGTTTGTGTCTGTGTGTGCCCTGCGATGGACAGGCACCCCTTCCAGGGTGTACCCCACCCTGTGCCCACTGCTTGCTGGGACAGGCTCCAGTTCCAGAGGAGATCTGAATCTGATAAAAACAGTCTATACTATAAAAACGGAGTGCAGTATAGTGTTTAATTACAAACAAGAACAATATTATGTTAAACTCAATATTATGTTAAAAAAATACATTGTTTTACTTTACATAGAATACACATCAATACTCACAGCACACCAGCTGAATAAGAAGCGTTAGCAATATGAATCTTCACAGGCGCTTTGATAATTCATCCCATAAGTAAAGAGGCTCACAGAGCCAAACCCTCAGAAACCACTGGAAGCCCTCACTGAACTACTATCTTACCCAGGGCTCAGTGGAGCTGTTTGTCACATGTGCCACATGGAATGAAGTCATGTGGGTGACAATTAGACTCTCGGCTTTCCTACCACCCACAGCTGCCCACAGCAAAAAGGTCCATTATCGCTCCCATCCAGCCCGCGCACAAGACGCTGCCGTGACTTCAGAGGAGGGAGCAGGAGCACGTCAGGATCAAGCGCTCAGCTAGGGCGCTGGGAGCCCTCCAGAAAACCAAACTGCGAGCAGATGTGGGTTCCAGCGCCAACAGCAGCAGATGAGCAGATGTCCGGGTTTTGTTTTTCCCCCCACAGATACTATACGTCCCACTGCTGCTACTGTGAGTTGGACCCGAGCTTCTCGGGTCAAGAAACATCTGGGAGAACATGGGCGATGCTTCACATTATTTGGGGAGAAGGAAGAATGATTCTGGCCCTGGGGAAGCACTGACAAAAATAAGGAAGGAAGGAGCCAAGGCAGAGGAATTCTGTTCTTGCTGACAGATTCACAGATTCAGGTCCACATTTTTGAAATCTTCAAAGGCCAGATGTTTAGAAACACCCTGCGTGCTCAGTATCAGCACAGGATTCAAGAGAACAACAACTCTCTTCAGGCACTTTTACAGCGAACAAAGGAGCTGGAAACCAAAACAAGAATCCTATGAAGGACTGAGCTTCTGCCCTGGCAAGGAAATCCAAGCGTGTTATCTAAGGTGGAGCGGGAAACTATAACTGATGAGAGGGAAGAAGGACATGAGGCACCCCAGGTGGGCCCATAAGCAACACAGAACTATCTTCAACACTCAGGCAGTTCTACCAGTTTCTTTTGCTGCAGGACCCCATAAAACAGTCACTCTCCAGAGACTATTGCCAGCAGCCATATCACCCTGCAACTCACAACTGG